TCACCTCTATCACTTTGTATTGTTCTTGAGGACCCTGGTTTGTAGTGATTTTCATCATTACAAAACTCAGTTGAGTTTTATGTCCAGTACACTCTTCTTATCTCACTATCTCTCATCTCTCACTCTCTCTTTAAAAAAAAAAAAAAAAGATGGTACGTGAACTTGATTATTCTGTGATGGATGAAGAACTTTCTCTCCTTTTTTTTTAGTACTGGGGATTGAATCCAGGAGTGCTCTATCACTGAGCTACCTCCTCAACCCTTTTTATTTTTAAGACAGTTCTCAAGTTGCCAAGGCTGACCTTGAACTTGCAATCCTCTTGCCTTAGCCTTCTGAGTTGTTGGGATTACAGAGATATGTCACTGTGCTGAGAAAGAACTCTTTTCTTTTATCCTTACTTGTCCCTTATAAGTAGGGTGACCATATAATTTATTATTCCAAACCAGTACAGTTCAAGAATAGAAGACAGCACTATTAATAATTACACCAGGAGGGGAGACATGAGGCCTACCCAGTCAAACTAAGACAGATGGTCCCCAATTTCTAGAAATCTACCCATTCATCCATATCATGCAAGATTTCATTGGAAAAAGCAGATGATGGGCTTTGGGCACTAGGAATATATTTTAAATTATTCATGAGCTATGCTCAAGGCTAAAATGCTTCCCTAAATAATTCTCACAATGAAAAAATTTTTATTGCAGTTGAGACAAGGCCAACCTAACCTTAATTTATGATGAGTTTTTATTTTTATATTTTGAACAATAAAGATCTTATATGGGAATTTTGAAGTTGTCATCAGAATGTCCATAATTCAAGTAGAGATAAAAGAAGTGTGAATTACAGAACTTGAAGAATTGTGGGCTGATAGGATAACTGTGAGTCAAGCATCAGTTTTTTTTTAAAAGTTCTCTTATAGGTAAATCTTGACTCAAGTCAAGAGATGGGCAGTGGAAAAAATTACAGATGGGTCTTCAAAGAACCATTAAATTCAAGTCTAAATTGCTTAAAAGGTAACAAAAATAGAACTGATCTTCAGTTACAGATGAACAGAATGATAATTATCAAGGCATGAGACCACTCTTTGAGCATCTATTTTAGTGTTGAGTATCATTTAAAAAATTGTCTCGTGGCATGTTACGTAGGCAACCTAGGGGAAATTTCCATTCTTTCCCAATGGAATCATCATGTAATTGTCACAAATGTAATTGTATACAAATCCTATGAGAAGTCCACTTAATAGAAAATAGTGCTTCTCAAAGTATGGTCCCTAGACCAATATCAGCATCACCTACGACCTTATTAAAAATGTAAAATCTTCGTGTTTTAATATGGTTCTGATGCATGCTAAAGTTTGAGAACCTCTGACCTAGAGCTGTAAATGTCCACTATAGTAGTAGCCAGTACTTATATGTGCTATTAAAGTTAAATTAAAATCTTAGAGCTTGGTTGTACAGTTCAATGGTAGAGGACTTGCCTGGCATGCATGAGGCTTTGGGTTCAGTCCCCAGCACTGAACAATAAACAAACAAATAAATAAATATTTAGTTCTGGTCATAGTATCCACATTGCACATGTTCAATAGTCACTTGTGGCCAATGACTATTATATTATTGAATTGGACAATGTGAATTACAGAATATTTCCGTTAACACAAATGTTCTGTTAGAAAAATTTCTGGCCTACTGCATCAGGTAGTGTGGAGTTGGCTGGAGTTACTTATAACACAGGTCTTTATCTCCTGATTTCATAATCAATAATGGAAACTGTCTTGAGCAATACAGAACAATTATTTAATTGCTTCAAGCATTTAGAAGTAATGAGTATGGAAAAAGAAGGAGAAAAGAAAATAAGTTTAATATTCTTTTTTTTAGTTGTTGATGGACTTTTATTTCATTTATTTACTTATATGTGGTGCTAAGAATTGAACCCAGTGCCTTACACATGCTAGGCAAGTGCTCTACCACTGAGCCACAACCCCAAGTTTAACATTCTTAAAAGACACTGCAACTGTAAGGAAGCTATGTGAACAAATCATTGAGAAAAACAACAACAACAATGACAAAAATCAGAAGAATTTGGGGAGAGAAATATCATTACACTTCCTCCAGAATATCAGCAGTTTTAATGTTTTAAAGTCACACTTAAAAAATACTTTAATTCAGAAGACAGATTAGGGATGATTGTTTAATAATTATTAATATTATTCATACAAGTACATTTCAAGTGTCAACATTTTTACAATTTGTTGGTCAACAAAAACTGTATTAAAGAGAAACAATCTACCTAAAAGAAATAGCATATGTAAAGTCTGTTCAGGTCCTTAGTTCATAGTTTAACATGTTCAGTTAAAGCTCTGTGTGTACTCTATTCACACATATTAGCAAATATGGGAGATGTGTTATTCTAGAATTTCAACAGTGATGCTTACAAACTATAAAAGTAATGCTTGAAATTATCCATTCTTATAATATTTTTGCACATTTTTCAATATCAGTGTTAGTAATTTGAAGTTTACAATGTTTTTGAGCCTGCCTCCGATTGAACTGGCAAGTTAACATGAAAAGAAATAAGACCACTACACAAAGGCCTCAGAAAAAGGACTGATAAAGAGGGAAGCAGGATAAAAAGTAGAGTGTAAAGTGCCATGATCAAGTGCTGCCCACCTCTTTTCAACAGACTCCCTAGTCTTTGTCATGCTCCTAGGTGGGAACTTTTCAAAGGCCCTTGACTGAGTCTGGCTTTCTGCTCATTCCTACACATTCTTCTGGATTCCAAAGAATTTTACCCCTAGCCAGCTGGAGTTAATGCTCCCTTTATTTCAACTCAAAGGCTAGTAGTCTGAATCCCTGCTTGTCTCTTTGACAATGAGATGGTAATAGTTTCTTACAATTAAATCTGGGATTAGGTCTGAAAGGAGAACTCATCAGAACTATCTATTTATGGATTTTAGCCAATATAATTTAATAACAACTGTAAGAAAACTAAGTCTTCTAATCATCTCCACATCAAAAGTTAATTGAGCAGATTTATCACTATATTTACTGTATATTACATCAAAAGGTGTAAGGCTTTATAGAATTTCAAATAATTAATTGTGTGATTACTATCAGAACTGCAGAAAATTCAGCTAACTAAAATACTGTGGAAAAAAAGAATTTGAACCTGGCAGGCTTAGTAATTCTGTCTGCAAAGACAGTCCCCTTAGCTACTGTCTTGGAACTTCTGTCTTCTGGACTTCATCCTATGCACACTTTCCCTTTGCTAATTTTGTTTTACATCCTTTTGCTTGAACAAGGCTAAGCCTTAAGTATGACAAGTCCTGTGAATCCTTCTATTGATCCAACAGAACTAGAGGTGGTCTTGAAGACCCTCAACGTAAGTACTAATCTCCCCAAACTCACCCTCTGCTACAGCCCCTAGGACTTGGAAAAGAAAGGAAGTTAATCCTAGAGGTGGAAAAACTTTCACGTGTAAACTGAATGTAGCCCTGTATTTTCAACCAGAGCACAGAAGAGACAAAGGGTTGTGAGTGCAGTTTCATTTTTAAAAATAACTGTAGTTAAGAAAATAAAACACTGCATGAGATTTTTGTTGTTCATATTCTAAAATGCTGTGCTGCCATAGATTTACTCATAGTTCATTTAAGCCACAATTTTAATTGAGAATTCATGAATTCTGTACTTACAATCTTAGTGATGGGTTGTGAGCCTCAGTATGAACAATTGATAATGAGGAAGGCATTCTTCTCAAGTCAGATTTTTCCATCCTCCTTCTAGCTCTAAAGAACTGTCTCCTTACTACTTTAGAGTTCTATAATGGCAGGAAGAAGGATTTCGCTACAAGCTGCAACCAGGAGAGAAGCAACTCAACTTGCTCCAGGCTCTTATAAAGGTAATTTCAATCCTGTGTTACTCATTACTTTCCCTCTTAGTTCCAACCACAAAGAGTACTCACCCAGTGGAAGAGCTCGAGTCAGGTTAGCCACTGGGGGATCTGTCTCTGGAGGACACTGCTCACAGAAATCCCAGCATGATGGACAGAGCAGGTTTCCCTCATGAATCCAACCATTCATCTGAATACTGACAGGGAGGACCTGTCCAGCCCGGCTGCATAAATATGAAGTATCTTGGACCCAAACCGTTAGACCTTGAAGAGAACAAGAAATCTTCCAATAGGGAGGAAAAAAAAAATCAGATCAGTAAGATTCTAGGATATGAGATTTCTCCTTCAATTGCAGAAAATATACTAACATTCACTAGAAATATTGGCTATAAAGCACAATTTGGCATTGAGCATATATATATATATATATATATGCTCAATGCCAAATTTTTTTTTAACTGTAGTTGAACACAATACCTTTATTTATTTATTTTTATGTGGTGCTGAGGATTGAACCCAGGGCCTCGCCCATGCTAGAGGAGCGCTCTACCGCTGAGCCACAACCCCAGCACCCCCCAGCATACTTTTAACTCGTAGTTTCTAAAAGATTTTCACTATAGTAGTGTGTGTGTGTGTGTGTGTGATTGTGTGTATGTATGTAAAAAAAAAATATATATATATAGATAGATAGATAGATAGATAGTTGTTGATGGATCTTTATTTTATTTGCTTATTTATTTGTGGTGCTGGGAATTGAACCCAATTCCTCACAAGCACAAGGCAAATGCTCTACCCCTGAGCCACAACCCCAGCCCCTGTGGTAGTATTTCTTAAACTCTCAGTTCAGCAACTGGAATTCACAGACCCTGAAGCCAACTTATAAAGAATAATATTTCTATATTTTTCAGCATCCTTCAGCCTAAATCTCTGTGAAATAACCATCAACCATTTCACCTCTCTCTACAAGTCAGGAGATTTTGTAAGTCAAATTTTATTAGTTATCTAAATCATTAAAATAATATATATTCACTGTAAAGAAAAAAAGCATACAATATAGAAATGTACATAGAGAAAGTTCTTCATTCTTTCTTCCTAACCCAGATCTTCTGCTCAGAGATACAAAGTCTAGAAAGTCATGGTGATTTTATCCAGATTGGTAACATCTTTTTTTCTTTTTTTCTTAAGGTACTAGGGATTGATTCCCAGGGAGCTTTACCACTGAGCTACTCCCCAGCCCTTTTTAAGTTTTTATTTTGAGACAGGGTCTTGCTGAGTTGCTGATGCTGGCTTTGAATTTGGGACCCTCCTGCCGCAGCCTCATGAGTAGCTGGGATTACAGGTATGTGCCACTGTATCTAGTTAGACTAGTAACATCTTGAAAGGCAAGATTCAAATCTCAACTGCAGGGGTAACTAATGTTAAAAAACAAACACATTAAAGACAACTTTCAAAACATTTAAAAATCACTGTGTCCTCTTCAAAGTCGTTTCCTACAAAGACTTCATGTTAATTTCAAATATGCTACTTCACACTGAATATTTCTGGAACTTCTTTCTTGGAACTACCTTCAATGTCAGTGAATGCTTCTGAATGTGTCGGAGGGCAACAAATTTTTACTTGCCAAAGTAGATGCAATTTATGGAAATAGCCCAAAGCTGCCCAGAACCACGTCTGATAAATGTAGCTGTCTAAACTAGTTAACATAAGATTTAACATAGGGGTAATAGAAAACATTAAAGTTTATTTTCTTAGTTATTAAACTACTTCAAATGGCAATTTCAAAAGAAGAATTACAAAAGTACATTTGAACAATGAGTCATTTAAAAAATAACTCTATCATTAGTGAAGTTGAAATATAAGACTAATTTGGAAATTTGTTACAATAAGTACAAAAAACAAACTACAAAGTGACCTTTTCCCTAAGTCCTGTCACTCAATAGTGCAAAGTGATCATTATTTTAAGCAAGAATTAATTGATTGAGCATTATGCTTGGTGCTGAAAAGAATACCAAAGAAGTCCATGATACAGTGTCAGCCTTCTTGAAGCTTTAACTGAGATAAAAAGACATAACATATGACTTTTTCCTTAAAAAAAGACTATGAGGGGCTCAGCTGTAGAGTGCTCGCCTGGCATGTGCAAGGTGCTGGGTTCGATCCTCAGCACCACATTAAAAAAAAAATAAGTACATAAAATAAAGATATTTTTTAAAAAAGACTATGATTAAGAATTGAAAATGGTAAAAACAATAGCAACAAATATTAGAGATTTTCATGTTAAAAAAGCATTTATACCCTAAGATGGACATGGGATTCATTCATTTGTTTGTTTTGGTACTGGGAATTGAACCCGGGGTGTTTTACCACTGAGCTACATCCCCAGTCCTTTTTATTTATTTATTTAAAAAATCTGAGAAAGGGTCTTGCTAAGTTGCAGAGGCTGGCCTTGAACTTGAGGTACTCCTGTCTCAGCTTCCATAGTCACTGGGATCACAAGTGTGTACCACTACACCCAGCAAGGATTTGGAGCAGAGTAAGGTACATATAGATGTTATAGTTTGGGAAGAAGATGAGAATTAGATGAGTGTTGATGGGAAAATTCCCTTGATGAAGCTAATTCTGGGAATTAAGTGTTGGCAGACAAAGTAGATGTACAAGAAGTAGAAGACTTAATAGACTCAAGCAAGCTGAATCAAAATCCAGCAGCAAGGAAACCCAAGAAGCAACATGATGGAATTTGAAGAATACAGGAAGGCCTGGAATTGCTGGCACCAGAAATCAAGAAGTATAGGCTACAGTTAGAGAGATTAAAGTTTATTTTATTAAGAGTTAGGTCTATTTATGGTGTTCTTAAACAGCCTGTATATATTGAAGAACAACTGAAAAGCAATTTGGAAACTCTGAGTATGTACATAAGGCCTTTGACCACTACCTTCACTATACTCTTTAAAAAAGTAAAGAGTTAAAAAAAGAATTTACCAGCTTCCAGAGGGGAAAGAAAAAAAGATTATATACATTAAAAAAAAATCACAGTGATATTGAGAGCCAAAATGCAAAGGAGAAATTCCTTCAGAATTATGATGGACAATGATTTTCAAAAAGAAAACTATACCCCAAACTACTGAAGAATAGTAGAATATGCCATCCCCAAATATGCCATTTTGGCATAACAATTATTTAGAGCTAAAGGCATTTGAAAAACAGCAGAACAAGGAAAGTGTTCTGACTCTCCCTCTCTTCTTGAAAGTAGGAGATAAAAATCCCACATCAAAGATGTCCTCCCTGGGGCTGGGGTTATGGCTCAGGCGTAGCGTGCCTGTCTAGCATGCGTGAGGCACTGGGTTCAAATAAAGATCCATCAACAGCAAAAAAATATTTTTTTAAAAAAAGATGTCTTCCTTATTCCAGGAAAAAAGAAACATCACTGGAGACAGGGAGTCAAAGTTGAGCAAATTTTAGTACAAATAAATGCTGTTAAAATAATTCTCATCTTCTTTAGCCTCCCCATATCTTTTACTTTTTTTTTTTTTCCATAATTGCTTCCCTTTGTTTAACCTAGTAAAAAAGCATCTAGATTTTACCACTTCTTTCATATAAAACTTTTATTAAATAAACACATATGCTTTACTCCTGGAAATGTACCTTTTGCCAACTTAATCCTCAGGCCCAGCTCGAGTCTTGCCTACCCTACACTACCATCAGGTATAAGGGCAGGATAGTGATACTTTCATATGCTAGAGGTCTCAAAATTCTCCTCTCCCAGATACTCCTCAAAAATCCACCAGGGGATATGATCCATTAAAATGAAGGGGAAAAAAAAAAAACCTAGAAGTAAGGGAACCAATATAAGAAAGGGACAGAGGCACCCCCAGGAAGATCATGACTGGAGAAGGAAAGGGACAGTTATGTTGTAAATTTAAAGGTTATCTTTATCCAGATTAGTGTAGATTAGAAATTTCCAGAGGTGATTTTCTTAAGATTAAACTGATAGAATACCTAAAGCATCTGATTATATGAAACTAGATGAGTCCAAGGAAAAAAGTTTGGAATTAAATTAGTGTTAAATAAAGAAAAACTGAATGAGAAAACAAGATATTAGTTATTAAATCCAGAGGGAAAATTTTGGGGGGAGAATAAGAGAAGTAATCATTGTAAAACACATGGCTTCACATTTACATAGTCATCTTAAGGTAAATATAAAGAAAATATACCTATCCAAAATTACTACAGAGAAGACGGAGAACTAGGAAGCGAATGTAATATGAAGAAAAGGTGAAAGAGCTAAATACTACCAAATGGGCAGAGTGAGAAAAAGAAATACACTGTATTATTGTTATGTAGAAGGCGGTCCTTGTTTATAAGAAATATGAATTAAAGTATTTAGGAGTGAAAGTATTTAGCAGGTAGCATGCCTGCAATCTGCATGAAATGACTCAGAAAAAAATTTTTTGAGCCATTCTGAGAGTTTTTCAATCAAAATAAATAAAACAACAATCATGAAACCAATAAACAAAAAATGCCTCAAAGCCCCCCAACACAAAAGAGCTAATCAAACTGTTAATCATTAAGAAATCAAACACATTTTCCACATAAATAGTGCTAGTATTAAATTAGAAAAAATAACTGACAATATTTTGGTACAGTGAAAGTAGAGCCAATCTTTGCAGATGGCATGGTAAGTCTATATAATCCCTTCATAGTGGTTGAGATTTATAAAACATTAAAAGAGCTTAAAAAGGTCACCTTCCTATTATACTTGTCACTGTTCTTGCTTTGTCTCCTTCAATATTCCCACTTATGGGAATTTATTTTAAAAATGTAAATATATTTATAAAAGCATTTTTATATGGTGAAAATGGAAATAAATTCAATATGTAAGAGAGTAACTTTCCTAATTATAATACTTTAAAACGATGCCATGTTCTATAGCCATAAACAACAATAAACATTATTAATGGAAAGGAAGAGGTAGGTATCCCCTATTAAAAGTACTAGAGCACTTGTTTAGCACACATGAGGCCCTGGGTTCAATCCTAGTATTCACTGGGCCCCCCACAGTATTAAGTGAAGCCAGTAAGACAAAATTACATACCATGACTTTAACTAGGTCAGAACTACATACTATTATTTTAATTAGAGCTTTATAGTTATACACAGTTGTTGGGTTCATTCCCAATAAACTCATACATGCATGAAAATCTACTTCAGTTCATGGTTCCCTCTTTTCTCTCCCATCTTCCCCCACTTATCCTTCTATTCTAATAGACTTTATTTAGCTCTCTATTAAATTGTATTTGATTGGTTCTTTACATAATCTTATCCTTCTCTTATCTCTAGCTTCTGCATATGAGAGTAAACATCCAACCTTGGAGTTTCTGAATTTGACTAATTTCACATGATATTCTCCACATCCATCCATATACTTGCAAATGCCATAATTTCATTCTTTTAAATGACTGAGAAGAACTCCATTATATTTATATATGTACCACATTGTCTTAATCCACTCATCTATTGATTGGGTTGATTCCACAATTTAGCTATTTTGAATTGTGCTGCTGTAAACATTGATGTGGCTTTGTTGTTGTATTATGCCAACTTTAGATCTTTCGGGAAAATACCCAGGAATGGGATAGCTGAGTCACATGGTGATTCCATCCCTGTTTTTTTTTTGAGGACCCTCCAAACTGTTTTCCAAAGTGGTTTACTAGTCTGCAGTCCCACCAACAATATGTTCAACAAAGTGTTCAATACATACATCTTTTTAAAATCGTTTTTAAGTTGTTGATAGACCTTTATTTATTTAATTTATCCACATGCTGTGCTGAGAACCAAACCCAGTGCCTCACACATGCCAGGCAAGTGCTCTACCGCTGAGCCCCAGCCCCAGCCCTCAATGCATACATCTTTAATGGGATTTATTAGAACGTGATTCCTGGATTCCAGTTGTCACATTACAGCTAGAAAATATTTATTTCTAATTTTCTTTGTAAGACTTTAATGCTATATGAATTAAATGAAATTAAATAAAATATATATTACTAAAGCTGTTACCAAAAAAATTAAATTTCATAGTCAACTTTAAAAATAATTGCAAAATTCCTAGTTACAAAGGACCATCTAACTCTTGTAGTGGAAATGGCACAATGCTTATTCTTCAGTTCTCAGGGTCACATTATCCTTCCTGATATGGAAAATTAAGTTGGATACCTCTAAGTTACAGAATTCCTGTATCTTGATCAGTTCTTAAAAAGGTGACAGTCAATCAATATCAGATATATAAAAAATTGGGAAAGTAGTAGTTTGGCCATTTAGATTACTTTAAATTTTTTTTTTAATTTTTATTTATTTTTTTTACTAATTAGTTATACATGACAGTAGAATACACTGCCATTTGGCTTTCTAATCTCAGTTTTTTGTTTTCTTTGGAAGGCTGAAGATTAAACTCAAAGCCTATCTCATATTAGGTAAGTGCTCCACCAGTGAGCTATATAAAAAGTATGAACTATATAAAAAACCATTATTAATCAACAATTAGTTTTTTTTTTCAGGTTTTTAAAATAATTTTTATTTTTTAAAAGTAAATTATACATTACAGGGGGAAAAAAAAACACAAGCAAAGAACAAAGTCATTCAGTCACAAGAAGCTTAGTTGGACGTGTCCCTCTAGGTTGTGTGCATATATACACAATATCCCATTTTGTGTGATTGAGATTGTGGTATTATGCTTTTCCACACATCATGAATATTCACCAATTCAAAATCCTGAAGCTACATGAGAATTTTTTGATAACCAAGAATACACCAACTCAATCTGTTATCCTTTCTTGGGGACAAAAATTTCACTGAAGACAGAAATGACAACAGGCCTCTAGATAGACATATTGGCAGAGTTACAACTAAAACAATTCATTCCCTTAATGCTCAATGTAAAATGAAACAGCAACAGAATACACCAAGCTTGTTAATCATTAACAGATTTCTACTACTAAAATATTAGCAAGAATGCATGTTCCCAGTGAATTAAAATATTCCTATAGTACAGCCAGAAGATGCACACACACCAGTGGCTCACATCAAAATGTAAATCTTTTGAGCACTTGCTTCCATCTTTCTGTGTGTCTCTCTGTGCCCCTCTGCTGCCAGCCTAATGAACAAGTCCTGATACACAATGCCCAGAGATACAACAATTCCATGTCCAAGATGCATCTTTTCTATCAATTATAACAAAAAGATATTTACAAGTTGGCTAATTCACTAGCACTACTTTTTATGATTCACTGTCACCTCAAGCATCTAGAAAGCTTAAATATTGTGAAATGAAGTATGAACTTTGCACAAAAACAACAATTAGTTTTTTTAATTCTTATAACTCATGCTTTGCTCAGACCTCTTGAAATAAAATTTTACATTTCTTCCAATATAAAACATTTGTTCAAGAACAAAATTTAATCTTTATCATTACTTCTTCATTATGCTCAGAAGCAAAAATATTATGAAACTTATTAATATATAGATATTTTACATATACATATGTATTTTTTTTTGATAGGGGGTTGTAGTAGGGATTGAACCCAGGGGGCACTCTGCACTAAGCCACATCCCCTTTCAATTTTTTATTTTGAGACAGGGTCTTGCTAAGTTGTCAAGGCTGGCCTTGAACTTGTGATCCTCCTGCCTCAGCCTCCTCAATCTTTGGGATTACAGGCATGAATCATTGCACGTGGCTGCAATTATATCTACTGTTAAACAAATGTAGAAAGGCAAATTTTTCCTCAAAGAAATAAAAATATTTTCATAAAACACAAGCACCAAACTAATAATTACATAAATAATCAAAATAAGCTAAATTATCCATCAGTAAATTATGTATCTAAAAATGCATAAAATATAATTTCAAAGACCACAAGATAAAAATTATATAATATTTAGCATAATTATTAAAAACATGTACTTTACCTGATAACATCCACTTCCCCAGTCTGGGTAACTCAGCTTCCTCTCACACTTTTCCATGACAAATGCCGACTTCTGGATTAGACAAACTGAATGGGGTCCATACTTTTCAGCACCATAGTTTTTAAAAATTTCTGAAGCAAACCAGGAGTCTCAAATTAGATTTTTTAATACAAAGAATAAGAAATTGAAGCATTCTATTTTATAATTAAAAGCTGCTTTAAGAAAATCAAACTTTTTATTTATTTTATTTTATTTTTTTAGATATTTATTTTTTAGTTGTAGTTGGACACAACACCTTTATTTCACTTATTTATTTATTTTTTATGGGGTGCTAAGGATCGAACCCAGGGTCTCGCACGTGCGAGGTGAGCACTCTACCGCTGCCACAACCCCAGCACCAAATCAAACTTTTTAAATGGACATTTTAAATAAAAATTTAAAATAAACAGGATTTTAAATTCAAAATGAATTGTCATAAAGGAACTAGCATGGTAGAATTACTATATATCAGAAATAAGAGAATAAAAGTAGGCTGAAAGTATCTAGGCTAAATATACTAAGGACTTGACACTAAGAATCATTAAATGATTAGATACCAAAATAAGAACTACAGAATGTAAATGGGAGACTATTAGAGAAAAATAAGTGGAAAGGGGTTGTGGCTCAGTGGTAGAGCACTTGCCTATCATGTGTGAGGCACTGGGTTACCACATAAAAATAAATAAATAAAATAAAGGCATTGTGTCCATCTACAACTAAATATATACATACATACATGTGTGTGTATAAAAATATATATACATTCATATAAAAAGAAGGAGACAGGCAAAGGGTATAATGGGGGATTGAAAATTATCAAAGTATATTGTATGCATGTACAAATATGCCACAAACAAAACCCATCATTCTGTATAATTAATGTGTGCCAATAAAACAAAACAAAAAAAAATAAGAATCACTGGCTTAAGTAAGGAGTTATATCCAAGTGACTCATGACAGGATGAGGCCAAATGATTTATATAATGAAGGGTTTTTTGGGTTTTGCAGCTTTTTTAAAAAAAAACTTCAATTTGTGCCACCTCTGTAAAGTCATAAATAACATGCTGATCTATCTAGTCTCATTCTAAACATACACCTGCAGAGGTACAGTACCGAATGAACCTAATGGGCAAACCTAGTAATAGTGTACTCTCTTTATACAAGCTTCATTTTTTTAAAGTAGAGAGTTCAACTAGTCCATTTTGAAATAAATTTTTTATGTCAGTTTTTTAAAAATATTAATTATATGAGCTAAGAAATAAAATACAAAACAGAACTCTATATTTCTTTTATTTATGAGTTTCAAAGTCTTCAAAAAGCATAGTGGTGTTCCATGTCTCTAATCCCAGATACTCAGGAGACTGAGGTAGAAGGATTGCAAATTTGAGGCCAGACTTGGCAATCTGGAGAGACCTTTTTTAAAAAAATCTTTTTAGTTATAGGTGAACACAATATCTTTATTTTATTTATTAATTTTTATGTGGTGCTGAGGCTAGAACCCAGTGTCTCACACATGCTAGGTAAGCACTCTACCACTGGGCCACAACCTGGCCCCTGGAGAGACCTTTTATAAAAACCAAAAATAAAGCTAAAATATATAAATAAATCAAAAGGGTTGGTGTTGTAGCTTAGTAGTAGAACACCCCTGGAATTACCAGTACCATTGAAAAAAACAAACAAAAAAGCTTGTGATCAGTAAGCAAAATAGGGTTAAGCAAACCATAATCCTCAGCCCAAATCCTGAAACCCTCACACACTTAATATTGTTTATAAAATATATGTTTATATTATGTATAATATTGCTTACATATAATGTTGTTTACATATTAATTTTACACTGTAGAAGCACAGCACCTGCTACAGAGACCAGATGAATGGCAAAGCCTGAAATATTTATATTTTGCCCTTCACAAAGAAACGTTTGCCAACTCCAGCTCTAAAATGGTTATCTCTAGAAAACCCACAATTGACAGATTTGTGTATTTCTTTTGCTTTAACATGGGACTTCTGAATAGTTATATTAAGTCTTTAGGACATGAATTAAATAGATGAGTGATGGGAAAACAAGACTGTAGAAATATAGTTAAACCTGTCAGGTTTCAGAATAATTTGTAAAAACATTGTAGATATTTGAAGTTTAAATGACCAAATCTAAAAAATAAATAAATAAATAAATGACCAAATCTATAATAAAGGAGTGAATAGTGTTGGGAGTGGGGAAAGACAATGTTAAAAACTTTAAAAACAGAGAGAAAAACTATTGCTTTTTATTAACATATCAGATGTGAGAATATTGTATGAGCTATAACTATTATTTCAAAATACTAGGAGCTGGGTTTGTGGATCAGCAGTAGAGTGCTCGCCTAGCACATGTGAGGCCCGGGTTCAATCCTCAGCACTATATTAAAATAAATAAAATAAAGGTATTAAAAAATACTAAATCACCATATAGTTTATTCCTTTGATGTTTTTTCAGCCTCCCAAGTTATTGGGATTACCGGCATGACTTTAGTAATATATCTTACAGGCCATGGGGCAACAGTATTATTTTGAGATCTACAGAATGACATGTCATGTTACTTCTAAACTACATAAAATTCACACTTCCTATGAAAGAAAAAAAATAGGTTACCTAAGGCATTTTAATAAAAACAACCTGATACAAAACCAAAATGGTGGTGGTGGGGAAACCAACCCAATACCAGAGGGTCTTACACTGATATCAATTAACTATATTACTTGATATCTGTTCATTCACCAATGAAATACAATAATATCTCTCTTATGTCTCTCATTAGGTTTTTAGAAAAATAAAAGGAAATGATACATAATGAAAAGTGCTTTACAAGTGAAAATTGCCACGAAGATGTAAGGTATTGCTAAAATGCAGTGTGTGCACATGAATTCATGTATCTAACAGATAACAATCCTCTTTATGAGCCAGCATAGTTCTATGCAATTATTATTTTATTTATATAATTCTCAAAACAATTCTATGAGTCAGGTATTATTATTCCCATTATACAGATGAAGAAACAGGCACAAAAAAGTTAAATGACTTCTCACTGATGAATAGCAGTGAAACCAAAACACAAACTCAGGCTGGTTCCAGGATTGTGCCCTTCACCACTATTTTATATTGCTGATACATGATCTTATTGTGTATTTAATACTTGATTTAACTAGACTACTAACCTGGTTGATTTTCTAATATTCTACAATCTGAGCTGCGTTGATATTCACCACTTAAGTGCCAACTGAATTCCTGACTGAAAGGGCAATAGTCAGCAATTTCTACTGACCCACCATAATAAGGCAAATCTTCTGTAGGTATTCCACTGAGTTCATCAAAGTACTGCAAAAATTAAAAAATATTATCAGAAAGACAAGAGATTAAGAGTCATTCTGCATAATCAAAATAAAGTCCATAGGCTACTTATAACAACTCTCTAATGCTGTATAACACAAGATATTAGTGTAGTTTTCTTCATAAACTGCATAACACAAAGAAGATATAATATGCCATAGGAAGGGTATTTTGAAGTTGCTATTGTTTAAAAATAAGCAAGATAAATAAATTAATTCAACATCTCTTAGGAGGACAAACTTGATCAATGTTTTAAAAAAGAGAATTTGACAGCAAAAGGAAGAGCTTTAATAATTGACAAAACATAAAACAAATGCATAGAATTAAGACACTTTAAATATAAAGTGTCAGGTGATGTACACACCTATAGTCCTATCTATTGGGGAGGCTGAGACAGGAGGATTGCTTGAGCCCAAGAGTTCAAGACTAAACTGGGCAACATAGTGTGACCCTGTTGCAAAGACAAACAAATAAAATGTACAGGTGTTTTTAGGAGGCTTAATTGATGTGCTGTTTTGAAAAAATAAAAATTAGAAAATAAATTAAATATATAAAAAAACTCTGAATACCAAAGAACAAGGTATCAGATAAGCCTAACTATTTCACATTTTACATTTTGCAACAACTTATGAGTTATAAAGCTATGCTTAGGAATACAGTTACCATGTCAGGTGCAATAGCACACACCTGTAATCCCAGTGGCTTGGGAGGCTGAGGCAGAAGGATCCCAAGTGCAAAGGCAGCCTCAGCAAAGGCGAGGTGCTAAGCAACTCAGTGAGACCCTGTCTCTACATAAAATACAAATAGGGCTGGGGATGTGGATGTGGGGATGGCACTCAGTGAGTGATTGGGTGTCCCTGAGTTCACATCCTGGTACCAAAAAAAAAATACAGTTGCCATCTTATGGTGTCTGAAGCACTGAGTGTGGTCATAAATATATGTAGGAAGCTCAAATTTAGCAGCTATCATTTAAAATTAGCTTCTGAGACATCATTTCTGACTTAAGATTACTCTGAAAATGGCAGGTAGAGCAAAATTGCTGAAGCTACTTCCAGAGTCCCTGGGATTATAGGCATGTGCCATAGCACTTGGTTTTGGGGAATTTACTCTCTGAAGTCAAAATGGAGATGACTTCTTAAAAATATGATTCCTAAAATTGTGCTGAAAACATCTGTTACCTGATATTCTGGTGGCAAAGGTTTAGGAAACTTCTGCAAATTACACACTGCAACTGCTCTCTGGTCTTGTCTGCAAGTTAATTGCAATGGATTACTTCTGAGTGTGTCACAGTACGGGCTCAGCACCTGCCTTCTGTACACAAAAATAAGCACCATATCATCAAATAAAAAAAAATAATTAGAAGTCTATTATAGAGCTTGTCCATGCTAGATAAATTCTAACATTGTTGTACTGTTACTAAATGAAATCCTATTTATCTTTTTTCCTGTTTTCTGCATATCAGCTTTGTGTTTTTAATGCCAATACATGAAATTCTAGATGCTGGTCTAAAAATCAAATCATCATAATTAACAAATGGAGTCTCAGAAAGAAATGGTAGTCATATCCCCTCTGCTCTGAAGCTACAAAGAGTGCAATCTTTTCCTATGTCAAAATCTAGTTTAAAGAATTTTGACAAATTGTTAAACTGAAAATATTCAAAAGACAATTTTATATTCTTGTGCAAAATGAAGATTGTGATAATATTCCTAAATTTTACTAATTTGTCCTAATCCCTGTTAAACTGATTCCTGGAAGGACAATTTGATAAAAGTAGTCTTATAAATTCTCAAATGATATCAGAATCTGTAGCATTGTCTTGTAAAACTAACCTTCAAACAAACCTGTAATCTGATCAGTCATCAAATTGGCAATTTATAATACAAAATTATATAAATGAGATCTCAGTATTCCATAGAAATTCTGGTAAGATGTATCCACAGAATTATACTAGGATTTTTAAATTTTTATTCTGGTATTTTTATTCTCCCACATGTCTCCTAAGGAAAAAAAAAGCTAAGACAGATTTCTTATTTGAAGGAAGATTGGTACTTTTCTCATTTAAGTCAGCATAACCTCTGAGTTCTATAGCCAGCATTGCAAAACAAACAAGCAAACAAACATTAACATAACATTTTTAGGGAATTATAGCTTCCTGAGATTAAAATAGGTAAAATACCTACCATAGTCTTTGGTAAACTTGAAGCAGCACAGTATACTAGGAAAGCAAAGGTCTTAAGTCATCACAAAGGTTTGGATTCAAATACCAGGGCCAGCCACTTTACTTAGTATTTAACTTTTCTGAGCTTCAACTACAAAGCACTTAGTGCCTAACACATACAAGTTACTCAATAAATGGAATTTCCACTGTCCCCACCATTTTATGAAGCAATTTTATAACATCCCACAATAAAGTTTCCAATGTATATGACCAGTAGTTCTTAGTCACTTTCTCGATGTCATGAATCTCACTTCCTTTAAAACAAAATATTACCATTTCACTTTAATAGAAATATCAGTCTTGGTTAAAGGAATAAAAAGGTTAAAAATTAGTAATTTTAAGTTCCAAAGTTAGAGCTCTTCAAGACTTATGACTTAACAAAATGCAGAGCAACTAGTGTTTGGTTGAAGTGCCTGCAAATGTGGAAATGTTGTACATTTGCACTGCCTAATACAGGAGCCACCAACCACATATGGCTATCAACTATTTACAATGTGATTAGTCAACTGAATAATTCAATTTTAGATTTTATTTAACTATAATAATTTAAATATAAATTTCAGTAGCCATACATGGCTAAATGGTACCATACTGGAGAGTATAGCTTTATAGCCATTACTAATAGCAAATAAGTTGGACACAGGAGTTGGTTATTTATCAGACCAGTTGCTTCAGAACAGAAGAATAGGGCTGACATGTAGCTCACTGGGAGGGTACTTGCCCAGCATGGGTAAGGCCCTCGGTTTCATCTCTAATACCAAAAAATAAAAAGGAAGAATTTTGAGTGTGCACAGATTCAGGGATTCAGATGAATGTGGTTTTGCCCATCCTCAGTGGATCTCTTCTAACACTGGTTTCCCAACAATGTAGGAGAAGAGTCACAGATAATGAAGCCCAAAAGTTATGCACCAGACCCTGTGCTCCAAGAAGGGTCACTCTAGAACCTCTAAGGTAACTCAGGGACATAGTGAGACTGGGCCTGTGGTGCCAGAAGATGGCAAATAATTCTAGATTTCAATTATTCACAAGTGAAATATCTGAAATGCTTATGGCAGGGTCCATAAACTCAACTCTTGGATCATACCCACAACCTGCTTTTTTTGTGTGCATAGTGCTGGGAATCAAACCAGGGTTTTATGCATACAAGGCAAGAGCTCTACTCTGAGTTATACTTCTTGCACACAACCTCTTTTTGTAAGATAAGGTGTTATTAGAACATGACCATACACATTTATTTTGTCTTTTGATGTACAAAAGTGAAGTTGAATAGTTGTATAAAGACCAACAAACCAGGTGTGGTGGTGCATGCTTGTAATCCCAGCAGCTAGGGAGGCTGAGACAGAAGGATTGTGAGTTCAAAGCCAGCCTCAGCAACAGTGAGGCGCTAAGCAACTCAGTGAGACCCTGTCTCTAAATAAAATACAAAATAGGGCTGGGGATGTGTCTTAGTGGTTGAATGCCTCTTAGTTCAAAGTCTACTATGCTCCCCTGCCTCCAAAAAAGAAAGAAAAGACTCTAATAATGATCAATGCCTAAAATATTTACTATCTAGTCTTTTACCAAGAAAACTGCTAATCACTTATGATTCACAGAATAGGAGAGAATGCAGTGAACTCACAAAAACTGTGAAAGCAACCATTTTTAAGAAAGGGGAAGAGGAACTATTCTATTTTTGGTCTTAGGTGATCCTATAATTGAGACTCAAAGGGGCACAATTAAGAGTTGTAGTTGTTGGGGCTTGGGATGTGGCTCAAGTGGTGGCGCGCTCGCCTGGCATGTGTGAAGCACTGGATTCGATCCTCAGCACCACATAAAAATAAGATAAAGATGTATGCACCTAAAAATAAAAAAAATTTTAAAAAAAGAGTTGTAGTTGTTAACAGGAAGGAAAAAAAGTCTCTCTAGCTGCAGTGTTAGCCACATACCTCCTTTTAAAAAAAAAAATTATTTTGAGACAGGGTCTCACTAAGTTGCACAGGCTAGTCTCGAACTTGTATTCCTCCTGCCTCAGCCTCCCAAATAGCTGGGATTATAGGTGTGTGCCACCGGCAACATACTTCCTTTAATACACCACAAACTGGTTTCCAATTTTTGATGCATACCGAAATCATCTGAGGTTCTCTTAAAACAAAATACAAAACAAAAAACACCAATGCCTGGTTATCACCACAAACATTCTGATTTAATTACTGTGGAATGCAACTGGGATATTGAGATTTTTTTGTTTTTTTAATCTTTATTCAAACAGATTTAATGTTTCCAACTATTTCTTTTCTTTTCTTTTTGGGGGTTGGGTATTGAGATTTTCTTAAAGCTAGATGATTATTTTAATGTTCATTGAAATCTGGGAATCACTATATTGGCAGATCGTGCTGGAGTTAACTAGCTGGCCCCAAAGTGGTTGGCAGGTGATTCCTGCTAGTGACTATTAGCAGCTCTTTTCACATTAGTGTTATAATTCAGACATTAGACCACTGAATAAAATTGCTCTGTGACTGAACCCAGGTAAGAAAATATAACAATGATACCTTATGACACAAAAAAATACTTGAAACTTAATGGGCAAGGCCAAGGTCTTGAAGTGAAAAGTTATAAGTCCCAGCTCTGTGTCTTATTTGATATATGATTATGGACAAGCCACTTGCCTTGACCTTTTTATTTTAGCAGTAAAATGCAGACAATTGTTCTTACTTTGTAGTGTTTCTTTCAGAAATGATGAGATTGTATTCTATTTGAAAGTTCTATAGATCATAAAATGCCAAATAAATCAAATAAGTCATAATCATTGTTATAGTTCTAAAGTAATGGTGCCTAAATGCAAGTCCACAGTCACTAGGGGAATTTTTTAAAAATATAAATATAAAATGTTGAGTCCCGTTTCTACTTCCTGGAAAATGGAATAAATATGTTTTCCCTTCTTCCAAGTACAACTAAAAATCCTGGATATTAGAAAACAGATGCAAGAAGACTCTGAAAGGTAGAGAGAAGGCACAATATCTTTTCAGATTTAAAGACTGAAACAGTGCTGAAGTCTTTCAGTGATTGCTAGAATAAGTAGCAGAAAATCAGTAAGGGAATAGGACTTAATAACACCATCAACTATTGGTGTGGTGGGCCACACTTGTAATCCCAGCAGCTTGGGACGCTGAGGCAGGAGGATTGCAAGTTCAAAGCCAGCTTCAGTAATTTAGTGAGGCTCTCAGCACCTTAGTGAGACCCTGTCCCTGTCTCAAAATAAAAAATAAAAAGGGATGGGAATGTGGCTCAGTGGTTAAGTACCCCTAGGTTCAATCCCTGGTACCAAAAAAACAGACAAAATGGTATTAACAAAGGACATTGCTAAGGGCCATTGCCAAGTAGGAATGACGCATCGAAATTTCCTTGCCAGCGTACCCCATGTTAAATGGACTTGCCTTGGAATTTCGCGGTTGACATTGCATGTAAGGTGACCTTGCTCAAGGACCAGGGCGGATCCGGGTTTAGAGCTGAACAGGTTTGAGGAAGTATCCCGCTCCTTGAGTTTAAGGCGTTCCCGGTTTAAGACAAGTTTAGGGCATTCCCGGCTTAAGACAATAGGGGTTTTAGGGAAGTTGGAGGTTGAAGATTATTGCTGCTGGGAATAGGGTGTTCCTGCTGCTTGTTCCCATTGAGTTCTCATGAGATTCAAATGGGATTTGGAAAATAACCTCTTGGACTAGGTGAATTGGGCGGGCAGATTTTGGATTTCCCCTGAACGTGAGTGGCTCATGATTCAGTGCCAAGCCCAGACATTGGCAGGACATGATATACAACATTTATAATGAAAGGGTAAAGTTTCTAAGCTGGAAAGCTTGAATGTAAAAGATTAGGTATTATTAAGTTCCTCTGTTACACCCAGAACCTGGAATTCCTGAGATAGTTAAAACAACGCCCTACTGGCCATTTAGCCTAGGGCCCTGTGCAAGTTTGTCACAGGGCCCGAACCAATCAGTTTGAATGTGTAACCCGCTTAGGAGTGACCAATCACTCCCACCCAACCTGTTCCCGCCAATGAATGTGCCAATCACGTCTCAGAGTTGTTGTTCAATTTTCCCGCGCCTCATGATGATTTGTT